TTAAGAAAGCAATTATGAATAATGGAAAACCACAGTTTTGTTTTCATAAGCTAAGACTTGGGCATTGGATGAACCACTTAAATTCATCCTTGTTGACATGGTCACCTATAGCCACCAGAAGATGGATATTATTAGGAAACATGTTTATGACTTGAAGCTTTTAAATAATGCCTATTGGATGAAAGACACAACATGATTAAGATGGGTAGAGAATAGTATTATGGTTGTATGTTTTCAAAGATACTATTTCGTGTTGGCAACATCCTTATGAAATTGTTGAAATGGACTCCTACCTTTGATCCAAGCGTTAAACCACCTATAGTTCCTACCATGATTAAAATTCCTGGTTCAAGACACCATTTTTTGAACAAATAACTGTTATAATCATTAGAAGCTATTTTTGGTAGACCAATGAAACTATGCCTCCTCACTTTCAACTTCAGTAGGCCTTCAGTAGTATGAGTTTTGATGGAACAAGATATCACAACCCCTTATGTTGATGAGATATGGATATGTTCCCGGAATAATAAATATTGACAAAAAGTTATTATTGAGAAAAACATATATTTTGCACAAAATGATAGATGTTTTGTCATTTTTTAGATGCATATTACATTGGAAAACACTTGCAACCAAAAGAAAAGATTTGAGAAGGTCAAGAGGAAATGTGTCTATCCAGACTAAGCAGACTATGGGGTAAGAAAGCATTAGTAGGCCAAAATAAATTTTAACAAAAGCATATCAAGAACTTCAATAGAGAGATCCGAACAGTTTATACTCTAGAAAAAACTTAGAAACTAGGTAGGTTGCATTTGGTAATTTTAAAGAGCTAGAATAATATTTGTTAAATGATCAGATTCTCTAGCATATAAGTTATGTAGAGGACCCTTTAATTATTCTTAATTTCCAAGTGAAACATATTCTTCAAGATATCAATGAATTAGAATGAATGAAAGATGAGCTCAATGGCATGGAAAATGCAATTTCACAAGATATTAACAACCAAGAAGCCTTAGACAACAAATAGATGTTGATTGTTTAAAGCAATCAAAAAAATATTTAGAGGAGAAATGGATAGTGCAAAAAAAAAATTAATTAAGCACAAAGGAATCAAAGAGTTAAGATATATAACTCCAATGCAACTATGGTATTTTAAGGAGAATCTTCAACTGGTTATTAGCAAATATTAATAATTGATCTCCTTCTATACCACTAAGCACAAAGGAATCAAAGAGTTAAGATATATAACCCCAATGCAACTATGGTATTTTAAGGAGAATCTCCAACTGGTTATTAGCAAATATTAATAATAGATCTCCTTCTATACCATTAGAGGGAGCAAAACTCTAAAAAATGTTTAGTTTTCTCATATTAAACCAAATGCCGCTAAGAGAATTAAAAAACTCTTAAGAGTTCATAAATTATAATACTTTGGCATTTTGAAACATATGGCCTCCTAATGTAATATGCAAATACATGTAAATAATTATGTAATTTCAGGTGTATAGGAAAATTTAGCAACAAGATGGTTTCTTTGGAAAGGTGAATTAGAATTCTAGGTTTTTATTGATGATATTCAGTTTATACATATCTCAATTCAACTTCCAAGTTTTTCATCCAGGCTACTATTGTGTATGTTGGTTCTATTAAGAATTCTAGAAGGGACCTATGGGAGAAGATAAGAAGTTTGAACCCAAATCCAAATATTTCTTAGCTCATTAAGGAGACTTTAACATGATCACACGTAATAGTGAAAAAATGGTGGTAGACAACCAAATATGATTGTTATCCTAGAATTTGCAAACACTATCAAAGATGTTGAACTGCTTTAGAAGCCATGCATTGGTTGCCCCTTCACTTTGTATAGAGGGAGGACTTTTGAGATGCTAGAAGAATATTAGTGAATAAAACTTATAATGATTTACTCCATCACTCTCTGGTTACACAGCTTAGTAGGACTTTCTTTAAGCATGCTCCTTTTCTCTTCATTAAATTCCTACCTAAGCCTACCAATCATATTTCATATTTCATAATGTATAGACACAATGTTGTAGTTACAAGGATTGCATAAAATTTTTTTTGAAATAGTGATTACAAATGGAACCATCAGACCAAATTATGATTATTATATAAAAATGTGGTGAAATTTATTTTAAAAAATTTTATTGGAAAGTTCTTAGTGATGCGAGAAACAAGATTTTTTAGTGTTGAAGTCAAAGTTTGTAACCTAAAAAATGAGATTTGCAACAATCCATTGTTGGAATCTAACTTAGTGGAAGCTCAAGTGGAACTGATGACAACCATCAACATTGAAGAAAACACTTACTCAAAAAGTTGTATTCTCAAGAGATAGAAATACAATTTTTTTTCCATGCTGGTATTCAAGGTAAGAGACGCCAAACTCTATGTTGAAGATTAAGGATGATGTGATGGGTTGGATTTACAGTCAAGAGGTGATTACTCAAATTAGAGTGGAACACCTTAGAACTTTTTTCTCAATAAAACCATTGAATATTTCTAATCTAAAAGTAGAACACTTTGATGACAACATACATTTGTGTAATAACCTGGATCTTTCTATGAGTCTTCTAGGAAAGAAATTAGAGGAGCCTTATTTGCCATAAATAGCAACAAAAGAAGTGGGTTAGTTGATTTTTTTATCGTTTTTACAAATCATATTGGGAAATTATCGCAGAAGACCTGTTTTCGGATATTAAGTTTCTTTCATAGCAACAAAAGAAGTGGGTTAGTTGATTTTTTTATCATTTTTACAAATCATTTTGGGAAATTATCGCGAAAGACCTGTTTTCTGATATTAAGTTTCTTTCACTGAGCATATATGCAAGGTATTTTAAAACTTTCACGATCTCACTTATTCCTAAAATAAATGAAAAAGGCAAATAAGAGAATTTTAGGCCTGTAAGTCTAAATATTGTGGTATCTAAGACTATTAGCATACTCTTGGCCCCGAAGATTCAACCTCACCTAGCAACAATGATCAGCCCACAACAAGCTGCTTTTGTGAAGGGCAGGAATATCATTAACAATATACTTATTGGTCAGGAATTATTCTATGATATTGATAGAAAGGGTCGAGGTTGCAATTTGGTTTTCAAGCTTAGTATCAGGAAAGCATATGCACTCTTAGATGAAATTTCATCTATGTAGTGCTACAAACCAGAGGCTTTAGTAGAGACATTTGCAATCTTAACTGGATATTCCTATTATTGGTTAGCCTCATGGACATTATAAAGCAACAAGTGGTATCAAACAAGGTAATTCTCTCTCCAATTATTTTCATTTTGGTTTAAGATTATTTATCCAGGTTATTGGGAAAATTTCACAAGAAGAATCCATTGACCAATTTTCTACCGAAGGCAAATTTAATATATCAAACCTTGCAAATGTTGATGACATGATCATCTTCTCTAATCCCAACAAACATTTAGTGAAGCATATTTGGAAGCACCTGTAGAGTTTTGAAGAAGTGTTTGGTATGAAGTTCAATGATCGTAAACGTCTTTTTGTAGTTGATAAGGGAGTTAGTCTAAAATGGCAAATATAAAAAATCCAAGAGGATGAAAGGGAAAACTCATAAGGAACTCAATTACATTGATACAAACATTGTTCTTTAATTTGTTGGGACTACTTTAGCTAGTATCATTTTTAATATTGATGATGGAGCTCCTACTATCACTAGAGGGACTATATCCATTAACCATAATTAACTTCTTAATTTGGAATGTTAGTGGCCTTGCTAAACAAGAGGTCTCTAACATATTGGTGAATCTTGGCAAGATTCACAAACTTAGTATTTTTGCTTTTCTATAACCTATAATAGCAGAAAAGAACATTTCTAAGACTATAAATAAGTTGAGGAATTTCCATTATGTATACAATTGCAATCTCAAATTTTGGTTTCTATTGAAGAAGGGGGTGAAGTTTCAAGTTTTGTGTGACAAACCAAAGTTTCTTCATTTAGAAGTTAAGATGATAAATTACAGTATAAATTTCTCTAACTTATGTTAGGTGCTCTAATTCTGCTAGTGAAAAACTATGGTACAAGTTGAAAATTGTTAGGGGCGCTAAGGAGGGTTCGTGGATGAGGACGGAGACTTGAATGTAATTGCCTCCTCTATGGAAAAGTAAGAAGAAAAAACTTCTTATTTTTTTTGTGCTGTAGTCATTTTGTGATAACATTGCAATTGTCAGTCTCTTTGAAGCTAATTTTACATGTAACATCTTCACTTGGAGGAGGGGGAAAACCTTTGAGAGGTTGGATAAAATTCTCATCAATAAAAATTAGATTGAATATTTTCATTACACTGAAGTTGCTCTCCTTAGCATAATTGGTTCTAGTCATGCTCCTCTATTATTGAAAATAGATTCCATTCCAAAGTCTGATATTACTACTTTCAAGTTTGTGAATGTGAGTGTCATGCATGATAAGTTTCAGGTTCTTATTAAGACAACTGGACACTAAATTTCACTTATACTTCCTGCATCGCTATGCAAACATTGTATTAACAAATGGTTGCTCAACTAAAAATTTATAATTAGAATGTGTTTGGGGATATTTCCAAAAGGATCTCAGTGGCTGAAAATCTATTTTACAAATTGAAGGACGATTATTGTAATGATCTAGTGCAAAAGGTGGGTGTGATGAATGGTTAAAA